GTTTAATTAGTTTCAAAAATTTTTTATTTGGACTATTTTTAAAATAAGTTTTATATGTAAGTTTAGGGAATTAATAATTAATTTTACATCATTATTTCAAATATGCAAATTGTTTAATTAGTTTCAAAAATTTTTTATTTAAACTATTTTTAAAATTAATTTTAAATTTGTAAATTTAGCTATACATAGCACCAAGTATAACAATTGGTGGTCAAGAGGTTCATGATGATACCGGTTAGTTGTTTTTTTTTTTGCTAATTTTTTTTTTTTTTTTTATATTTATCAATTTATTTTTAAATTACAAATGCTTCTATTATCTATTCAGAGTGATATAAATTAATGGAAAATATCAAATTTATTGTTCTTGCAAAAAGAAAAAAAAAGATGAAATAACATTATCATTTCAGGAAAGGAAATAATTTTTGAAATAATTTTGCTAAATTTTAGGCTTAACTGGAATGATGTCTAATAACTATCGTGTATATGGTACTATCATTTTGTTACTTATATTTATTGTTGTTGCACTTGGTGTTCGATTTGTACAATTCTTTGCACCAGTAAAATTTATTTAATTAATTTAAATTTTTACAATTTCAAAATATAGTTATCAATGAAAATTATTGTAAAAACTAAAAATGAAAGATTATCATTTTTCTCTTATCTTATTAAAATTTTTTCAACTATATCTTATATAGTTGAATAAATTTGTTTGATTTATTTGATTGAAAAAAATAAATATATTATCAATAAAAATTGCTACAAATCCAATGTGAAAAAAATTATCATCATTCTTTATCACTTTATCAAATTTGATTGATAGCTTAAAATTATATTTTGATTTATTTAGTTTGAAAAATAAAATTTAATTTTTCAACCACTTTGTATGTATTTTTCTTTAATTTTAGAACAAAAAAGATTAAAAATATTATAAAAATTTATGGATGAGAGAAAATAAATTGTTTAAATTACTTTCAAATTTAACAATTTATTTGTACTTTTTTTTTTGGTGCAATTAAATGAACTTAAACATAAATCAAATTTAATTTTTAAACTTCTTTAAAATTAATATTTGTTTAGATTTCATTAATTTGTGTGCTAATTTCGATATTAGCAATTTTTGCTGGTATTATCGAAAAAAGTATCATATCAAGCAATCATCGAGTATGTTACCTGGATAACCTTTTATTACATGCTAATGCATATGCATCCATTAATATTACCAACGATGATCTATGCTCCTATTGTAATTTTAATAATCCAAAACTTATCGATATCATTTGTCATAATAGTTCATCATTAGATTCATGTGGTAATCATACATTAACATGCGAAAAAGCTTTTCCTGGTATTCAAAGTGGTGTTTTTCTTGGTTTGTCATTTACTTATTTGTTTTAATGATTTTTGTATACTTTCATTAAACATCCATTTAAATATGTAATCTTTATTAATTAAACAATTTATTGAATAATTAATTGTTAGCCTTTAATTTCTAATCATTTATCAATTTATTATTACATTTCAGCATGATATATTGCATTAAATTTAGGCATACATTTAATATTTCAATTTTCTTACTTTTTCTACACAAATTATATAAGAAAAAAAAAAATTTCCTTAATTAATTTTTTACTTTTAATTAATTTGTTTGCTTATTCGGAATTTTATTCAAATATTTAATTTAAATATTTTAGCAAATTTACCTAGCCATTATATGAAAGCAGGTGAAGTAGCACCAAAGCAATATATTAGTGATAAAAAATTGGAAATCTTTCAGGTAACAAATATATTTCTCTTCAATTGAATATTATTTTCTTTTTCTTTTTGTTATTATAAATTTTAAAATTAATTATGAAAATTTTGCATTTGAAAAATTTTAAACTAAAATATAAAATGGAAATAATTTCGAGTAAGGTAATTATGAATTTTGAAATTAATTATGAATGTTAATTTTGCATTTGAAAAATTTTAAATTAAAATATGAAATAGAAATAATTTCGGATGAGACACCTAAAAGAATAAATAAGAAAATATATTAAAAATTTTTTCAAATTTATTGAAAATTCTCGTTTATCAACCTTCTTCCCCAAGTTTTCAGGAAATGGAAAATACATTAAGATATCATAATTTTTCAAAATATTATCTAAGTTAAATTATTAGAATAAGCTTAATTCTTTGCTTTTCGTTTATCTTAATCGATTGAAAAAAAAGAAAGAAAACATTTCAGTTTTAGAACAAATTTATTTTTCATTTTTTACTATAATATACATTGTAGTAATTAATTATTAATTAATAATTATTGAATTATTTTTAAATAATACTATTATATTATAATTTTTTATTTAATAATTTTAGGATGTTACAACGACATTTTTTGTCGTAATGGCAATTTATTTCCCAAGTGTTACCGGTATTATGACTGGTGCTAATATGAGCGGTATGTTTTTTATTGCTTATTCTTGTTCATTATTGTTTATTGTTTATTGTTTATTCCTTATTGCATATTGCTTATTGTTTATTATTTATTGTTTATTGTTAAATGAGCAATTGCTTATTGTTTATTGTTAAATGAGTAATTGCTTATTGTTTATTGTGTATTCCTTATTGCATATTGTTTATTGTTTATTGTTTATTGTTTATTCCTTATTGCACATTGCTTATTGTTCATTATTTATTGTTTATTGTTAAATGAGTAATTGCTTATTGTTTATTGTGTATTCCTTATTGCATATTGTTTATTGTTTATTGTTTATTTTTTAATGTGAAATTGTATTATTTCTCAAAAACATATGATCGAATTCATTTAATTATTTTAGCAAATTATAGTAAAGTTTTAGTAGTTTTTATTCTAGGAATTTCCCATTGAATATTTTATGAAATAATATTGTATTTATAAATATTTAACAATGATATAACAATTAAACAAACATTATATCATCGAATAATAATTAATAACATATATATATATATATAAATGCTATGACATTAAAAATTATAATTAAAAATTTGCATTCCAAACTAAATGCAAATTTCTTTCAGGTGATTTAAAAGATCCACAAAAAAGTATCCCTCAAGGAACAATTGCTGCACAACTAACAACATCAATCATATACATTCTTCTTATCTTAGCATTTGGATCAACAATTGCTGGTAAATGGATTTTTTTTTTTAAATTTTATTTTTAATTTATTTAATTCTATCTTATATTTGTATAATATATTACATTTATTATTTTATTATATGTGATTCGAAATTTTTTTAAAATTTTTAAATTATTTCTTTATCGTTTTTTTTTTTTAGTTTATTGTATATTATATTTTATTACTATATTTATTTATAATTACATTTGATTACAATAAAATTTATAAATAGCAATTTTAAGGTCCCAGTATTAC